AATTAAATATCCCAGATACGAGGGGAAAGAGACAGGCTAAAAAACAAGCAAAATGTTGGGATCACTTTAAGTTGATTTCAACGGGAAAAGTCATTGATGGCCTTATAGAATCTAAAGCAGTATGTAAATACTGCCAACAAAGATTGGCATGGCAAAAAGGAATTGGTACCACTCATCTCAACTGCCACTACAAATCATGTGCAACCAGACATGGACTTCTTCCAACTGGTCAAACACAATTACAATTTAGCAGTCCAGGCGCCGGTTCTAGAACTTCACCCCTATCCACGTGGGTGTATTCGGAGGACGAGACTCGAAACAGAATGGTGAAATTTGTTGCCGCCACTGAGTTGCCTCTGGCTGTTGCAGACAACCAACACTTCATCTTGTTCGTGAAAGAATATCTACAACCGAGGTACGTTGGGGTAAGTCGAAACACTCTTCGTGCTGATACAATAAATTATTTCAATAATTCAAAACAACAATTAATTATAGATTTGCAACAATATGGGGGTGTTATATCCTTAACTTCTGATATATGAGAAGGGGTTAATAAAAGAGCATATATAGCTGCAACCGCACACTATATAGACCCACTTTGGTGCATGCATAAAAAAATTATTGCTTTTAGAATTATTGAATTTCCTCACAATGCTAATAATATATATAATGCTATTATCAGTATTGTTAGAGAATATCATTGTGAGAGTAAAATTCGATCTTTTACTTTTGATAATGCTAGCGTTAATAAGGTAGTCGTCTATAAATTGTGTAGGACACTTCAACCTGATTTTGATGGGTATTTGTTTCATATTCATTGTGTGTGTCATATCTTGAATTTAATTGTGCAAAATGGTTTAGAACATATAAAGGATGAACTTCAAAGGATTAGGAATGCATTAGTATATATTACGATCTCTCCTAGTAGAAAACAAGCATTTGAAGATTTTTGTGCCGAACTATGAGTGATGACTGCTAAAACATTTGTTAGCGACGTAGGTCATAGATGGAACTCTAAATACTTGCTATTAAAATCATGTGAAGGTTTCGAAAATTTAATAACTGACTTTTATAATAATAGACATGTTAGAAGTGATGATGATGGTATGTTAAATGAATCCGATTGGATTTTAGTTTTGAAAGTTAAACGATTTTTGACATCTTTTTATGAGACAACAAAGATTTTATCCGGCATTTATTATCCCACAAGCTGTATGGTGCTTGAACGCCTTTATATAATTGCAAGAACATTCCATAAATATAAAAATGATCCTGCTTTTGAGTGAAATTTTAATTGCTATGGAATTAAAGTTTAGAAAATATTGGGAAGAACTGCCTATGTTATTTCCTTTAGCATGCACAATGGACCCCCGATATAATATTTTGGGAACTAAATACGTAATTGATCAAATCAATAAAGCTTTAATACTTGATACACCTATTACCTATAAGAATTTAGAGCAAACATTATGTGGAATGTATGATTTATATGTGGAAAGAGTGGGTACAAATGTTAGTCGGATACCCTCTGCTGCACCTACTCCTTCTGCTGAAACTGAAGAAGATGCTGCGGAAATAATGAATTTATTTCAGGGCATTCATACATTTAGATATGATGCAACTGCAATGTGTTCATCTAGTGCCATGTCGTCTACATCTGCATCTCATCAAACATCGGCCGAAACTCAAAATGCGATGCCTGCCGAATTAATTGATTATTTTAATCATAATATGCCAATAGACAGAACAATTAAAAAAACTTTAGAAGAAGTAATTGAATTCTGGCGAAAGTATGAAAGACGTTGGCCAATTATTTCTGCAATTGCGAAAGATCTATTGACACCTCCGGTTAGCACTGTTGTTTCAGAGTCTACTTTTAGTGCAGGTAAAATGGTTTTGACTGATGTCAGGAGTCGACTGAAAGAAGATGTTTTGGAAGCGTTAATGTGTGTGAAGGATTGGCAGGATGCTCATTTTCGACTACAAGATAAATACGCTGAAATTGCATGTCGTCAGGTAAGCGATATTTGATTTAATTATATTAATCAAATTTTTTTTATTTTTTAATCGTTAAATTTAATTTTCTTTAAAAAATTGTACACATTACAACAAGTTGTTCATGTACAATTTTTAACTCCGCCTACTTAAAATTGATGTAGCCGATCCCAAGCCCGGATAAAGGAAGAGGATTTACTTTTATTAACTTTAAAAAGAAATCAAAAAAATATATTTTTTGTAAATGTGTTTCAAAAAATAATTCATTTTCATTATATAAAATAAAAAGTATTACAAATTACAATATGATATAAATAAAAGAAATAAAAACTTGTTTTCGTTAAATTATTTGTATTTTTTAACACTTTTTATTTTTAAAACTCTATTCTTTATTAACTTTAAAAAGAAATCAAAAAATATATTTTTGGTAAAAGTATTTCAAAAAATAATTCGTTTTCATTATATAAATATTTTATACTTTATAAAAAGTATTACAAATTACAATATGATATAAATAAAAAAAATAAAAACTTGTTTTCGTTAAATTATTTGTATTTTTTAACACTTTTTATTTTTAAAACTCTATTCTTTATTTTATATAATAAAAAAATAAAAAAATTAGGCGAGCCCACGAGCCGAAGCTTGGCTCGGCCCACGAGCACGAGCCGAGCTCGTGGCATTAAAGGCCGAGCCGGCTCGGCTCAACCCATTGCCAATCCTACATGTGAATAAGAGGGTCTTGGTCTCAGTGCCACATGTGGTGAGGTATAACAATAGTCCACCAAGTCTATGCATGGTTTATTTATATCATGCATGGACTTCAGAAATAAACCAATCACTATTGTGTGGACTCGGTCTTGGATTGAGGCGGGTGATTATTGAACCACCAAGATGGTTTAGCCATATTATTGCTGAAATTAGTTTTGGAGCTAGGAAGGGATGAGGGATGAACTCCCATGGCTTCCTTGTTTATGATATAACTGAATTTTATTTCAAGCCGGGGCACAAAGAGCTAAAAATGCTAAGGACTCGAGTAATTTTAAAGCTAAAGCGGTGAGAGAATTAAACTATCAAGGTTAATTTTATTTGCAATGATTGCCCTCGAAAGTGGTGCCAATGATATGACAGTTTTGCCCATTACCAAGAAAAAATAAAGGAGGCACTTCGATTTCCAATACACATATAGCCATCATAGTAAATGTGCAACGATAGCATGATTTTGAAATACGAAATAGGCACGCAAGGCTGATGCGTGAGAATCACGCCGAAATCTGAGGCATCGATAACAAAAATCATTTGAATTTAATGCCTCAAATTAATCTTAGGATGGACGTCCCAAATTTGGATGGACTTTGATCCAACGACTGGGATTCATTTTCATTCGGTATAAAAGTCGAGAGAATGCCATTGTTACGGTTTTTACATTGCAAAAAATTCTTCAAACTCTCCATGCATTGTAAGTATTTTCAGCATCTCCTCTTTTCCAACGATTGTCCCTAGATCTTCTTTTTGTTCAAGTAGTTTTCTGTTGGATTATTTTCTTTGCAATCATCCTCGATATCTCTTTATCTTCAATGGCTCCCGAATCTGTTAGCGATAATGTCACAATTGCTAGGGTCGGAAAGGACGCTCTGCCCGGGGGTCGAAAGGGGGTGCTGGGCTATGAGTGAAGGTCACATAGACTATGAGGCAGATTGGATAATTGTCAAAATCCTTTCTACTATGACCTCCAAAAAAAATCATCGAACTTAGGGAGAAATATTGCATACTGCATGACATAGGGCTCTTAGTTTTCGAAGGCAACGAGCGAGCCTGTTTTCTAAGGCCACGATACGTGGCTGTGAGTAAGTTCCTGTTCAAGGTAAGAATGTGTCTGCCCTTGCACCCTTTTTTTTAGGAGGATGCTAAAGAGCTTTATGTTAGCTTCTACCCAGGTTTTGCCGAACGGGTGGAACCAGTTGGTGAAAGCCTTTTTCCTTTAGAAGGAGGTACCTTTGGGTGAGGACATGCCGCTGCATGTCTCCAAAACAATTTTCCAACCCCGGGTACATAGGAAAGATGAATCGAATGGGTGGTATTACATAACCCCTTTGGGAGCTCACGACCCTTTTGTAGTGTGTCTGCCTTTCTCCATAAAGAGTAGGAAGAAGTCTTGGTTCTGGGTACGAGGTAGGCAGTAGATTGTTGAGGAAGACACGAGCCCAGCCTATACAGTATCGACCTAGTACTTCTACACACGTGAATGACTCCATTTGCATCATTTTATTTAACTTTATCTAACTCATTCTTTTTGCAGACTCCAAATCTCGCTTTGAACTCCACAGGCAGAGTGGGACGTGATTGAGGACATTTATAAGCGTCCTTTTTGAATTCTACACTTCGATCACTTAATCAACCGAAGTAGATATTTCTTTGACTTCAGCTTGATGGCCTCAAAGGGTAAGCACTAAGTCCTCATTCTTGTTTTAATCCCAAACCTTCAACACTGCTTGTAGATAAGTTTAAAAAGAAAGAGTATCTCACTCCTGACATGTCCTCGATTCTCAAGGCCATTGACCGTAGGTGCCAAGGCCTTGAAGCCTTTATTCGGGGGTGCAAAGCATGTGTGAGACAAGCTAGAGTGCTTTAGCAAGGACCACGTAGAGAAAAACGGAGGGGAGGTAGTCTCTAACACTGATATGGCAAGGGAAAGGCAAAAATCGTTAAGGAGTCCCATAAAAAGAGAAAACTAGTTCATAGCAGTGACTTGCTTTCAATGAAATTTGGGCTACTGAGAAGGCACAAAAAGAATGGACACCCAAAAAGTTTGGGAGATTTTTAGTGGGGCAAGATGAGATGATAGCCCCAACGGTGATGGAGATGCTGCCACCGGAAGCAGGGCCTTTAGCTTGGCCCCCAAATGTTAGGTAGCTTTGACTGACATTTAAACGAGGAATAAGGCCTGGGTAGATAAGTTGGCCACTATCGAGGAAGAAATAAAGAAGTTGAGGGCCGAATATGAGGCGATGAAGGCTCTAAAAATGAACAACGCTGCCAAGTTGGATAAGGGTAAAGGAAAGGAGGTCCTTATTGAGCCTCCTAAGCGATGGATTCCAGTTCAGAGAGATCAGAAGAGGCAACACGATGCTAGCACATCTAGAGTTCAGATTCCGCTTTCTGTGTCCACTGTCATCACATCAGTCCCATTACCTACTGGCACTAGCTCACATGCTCAGACCCAGCCATCTGTTCCTCCAATTGCTCCTCCCTCTGCTACAGCCTTACCAGTTATCAGTGTTGTAGATCCAGTTACATCTACCACTCCTTCAGCTCCTGCTCAGGCTATCAGTCCACCTATCACTCCATTTTATGATCCTATGTTGGATGAGATGTTAAAGAGGCCACAGACACAGAATTCTACAGCAGACACAGTCAGCAGAGCTTCTTACATTCTAGGCCCGACACCGGGTAGGGCTCAGGCACCTATTTCCACTTCTTCTCCTCCTGTTTGTCATCAGAATGTGGAGGCATCTATTCCATCTTTGCAGTCAGCGCATTCAGACACAGAGGGCTCACCTCAGATTGAGGTTCACCAGCAGGGACCTTTTCGAAGATCTTCTTCTGATGACTTGGTGGGTTTGGATGAGAGGACAGAGGAAGATGGATTTATCCCAGTTGTTCGGAAGAGACACCCACGGGCTACTGATACTCCACATCCGAGCAGAAGGATCACTCGGAGTCAGTCACATGATACCTCCTCACATTCTCCTTCCCTATGAATGCCATCATTTGGAATGTGAGAGGTGTAGCTAGTGTAGCTACTAGTCGGCGCCTGAAGAAACTTATACAGCTTCATCAGGTTTATCTTCTAGTTCTATTGGAGCCTTTTGTTCTGCGGCAGAATTTTGCATATACACGACGCTATCTGCGCTTCGACATGGGAGCTCAAAATGAATCGAATAAGATCTGGTTTTTCTGGAATTCGAGGACTAATGTTACTGTTATTGTTGATCATCCCCAGTTTCTTCACGTTAGAGTTGAGGGTCCCAGACTAGCGCGTGCTATCTATTTGATTCCAGTCTATGCGTCATGTGATGCTACTATCAGGAGAGATTTGTGGGCGGGTCTTCACCACATCTCCCTCGATATGGACGATCCTTGGCTAGTTGGAGGAGACTTTAATGTTATTACACATGATGGAGAGCGCACTGGTCATAATACCCGTAATTGTGGCACTACTGCTTTCTCTGATATGATGTTAGACTGTGGTTTAGAGGATGCAGGTTTCATTGGAAACCGATATACTTGGACCAATGGTCGGGTCAGAAAGAGATTGGATAGGGCACTTATTAATTCTACAGCTGCAGCTTTTTGTCGACAGCTTACAGTGAGACACTTGAATCGGACTTCATCCGATCACTCTCCTTTACTGCTTCAGTGGGTTTCTGATGATGATTTGGGGCCTAGACCGTTTAGATTCCTCAATGTTTGGACCAAGCACCATGATTTTTTAGCCTTTGTCTCCCAGAAGTGGTCGCTCCCTACTCATCTCACAGGGATGACCGCTCTTTGGGAGAAGTTCTTCAGGCTAAAACAGGGTCTGTGCTGGTGGAAACGACATGTATTTGGAGATATTTTCCAGGGGGTGCGCGATACTGAGGTCGGGGTTGATGAGGCTGAGATAATATATGATAGAGATCCTACACCGGAGCACCGTAACTTACTACATCAGGCCCAGGCAGTTTTGAACCGGACCTTGTCTATTGAGGAGGGCTTTTGGAAGTAAAAGGCTGGTTCACGTTGGGCATGTGAGGGTGATCACAATACTCGATATTTTCATGCGATGGTTTAGGGGTGTAGGATAAAATCGCGTATCAGGTCTATCAGGACACAGGTGGGGGAAGTCTTATCTACTCCTACTGATATTCAGACCTCAACTGTTGCTTTCTACCAGGATCTCTTATCTGCTCCTCCACAACCCTTGGACCACATCGGTTCTGATGTCATTCCGAGGCTATTGACAATGGACGATAATCTGGCACTAAATCGCCCCCCTTTGATTCATGAGGTACGGGAGGCAGTTTTCAGTATTGATGCTGACAGTGTCGCTGGTCCGGATGGCTTCTCATCCCTATTCTTCTAGCACTGCTGGGATATCATTCAGGAGGATGTTTACAGGGCGGTATTGGATTTCTTTGATGGTGATCATCTTCCACGGGGTTTTGCTGCTACTTCTATTGTCTTGCTACCTAAGAAGGATGGTGCTTGCAGATGGACTGAATTCAGACCAATCAGTTTATGCACAGTTTTCAATAAGATTATTACTAAGCTTTTGAACACTCGGTTGAGTACAGTGCTACCGCGCATTATTTCCTCTCCACAGAGTGGTTTCATCCCAGGCCGTCTGAGTGGAGATAATGTTTTATTCGCACAGGAGCTTCTCTACACTTTGGATGATAGAGTGGGAGGGGGAAACACTATGCTGAAGTTAGACATGGCTAAAGCATATTATCGCATGGACTGGCGCTTCATTTATTCTGTATTGGAGGCATTTGGATTTGATCAGATCTGGATTGACAGAATCAGGCGGTGCGTTTCGGAGTGTCGTTTCTCCGTACTCCTCAATGGCCACCCATGTGGTTTCTTTCCCTCCTCACGAGGACTCAGACAGGGTGATCCTATCTCCCCATCCTTGTTCATCATTGCAGCAGACTACTTCTCACGCTTGCTCACTCAGAGGTTTCAGCAGTATCCCAGTATGTGTTATCGGCATGGAGGTAGTGCTCTTGTCTCACATCTCTCATTTGCTGATGATATGATCATCTTTGCCAACGGTCAGAAACAGTCTATCAGAAGGGTCTTAGACTGCTTGGAGCACTATGAAGGAGTTTCTGGCCAATTGGTGAATAGAGACAAGAGCGGTATTATACTATCCAGACGGGCATCCACTAGTCAGATCAGACGACTAGAGATTTTGACTGGCTTCAGACATCAGCAGCAGCCTTTCACTTACTTAGGTGTCCCCTTATTCAAGGGGACTAAGAGGAGCTTCCTTTATGATGACCTTATCCAGAAGATAAGGAATAGGATATCAGGTTGGGCCTCACGATTACTATCGCCTGGGGGTCGTATTACATTACTGAGGTAGTACTTTCTTCCATACCTTTACATCTTCTTCAGATTATGCAGCCGCCCAAGGCAGTGCTGAAGAAACTTGAGAGCATCTTCGCCCAATTCCTATGGGATTCTAAAGATCAAGCACGACGTCTACATTGGAGGAGTTGGAAGGCAATTTGCCTTCCTACTGATGAGGGAGGCCTCGACTTTAGGAGATTACAGGATGTGGTGGACACCTTCTCCATGAAGCTCTAGTGGCTGTTCCGATCTCAGAGGTCACTTTGGGCTCAGTTTTTACTGGGCAAGTATTGTAAGGGGACGCATCCTTTACTTGCAACAGTTCCCAGTTTAGCTTCCCCTACCTCAAAGAGGCTGAAATCAGTTGGGCCACGGACGGATCCACACATTGCTTGGCACCTTGGAACCGGTCAGATTTTCTTCTGGCATGATTGTTGGATGGGCGAGTCCACGTTGGCATCCCTATTCCCCCACAGACAGCACACATCTGTGAGGGTACAGGATTTTTTTGACGACACTGGGTGGGATTTTGGACGATTATTACGGGCCCTTCCTTCTCACATGGCGGAACAGGTAGGGGCGATACCTTTATGTGAAGATGCCAGCCTCAGGACTCATATCGACTGCTGTGGAGCTCTATCTTGCCTACCACTATTTCATTCTTCTGCTGGAGACTATGGCAGGATCTCATTCCAGTAGATGTTGTTATTCAGAGGAGAATTGGATGTCAGTTGGCTTCTCGTTGTCAGTGTTGTTCCGAAATTGAGACCATCAATCATATTTTCACGAGCAGCAGCATCTCCGACCAGGTATGGCAGCACTTTGGAGACATCTTTCAGATACCTATGACTTCAGGGGAGGGGGTCAGACAGAGGTTCCAGAGATGGCGGTATTTTGGACAGCACGTTTACCGTGGACACATTCGTATTATCATTCCTCTACTGATATTTTGGTTTCTATGGACTGAGAGGAATGATGCGAAGCATAGAGGTATTCGTATGGTGGCCAGACGTATTATTTGGAGGGTCTACCGCATGATCTCCTTTCTTCATATGGGAGGACTATTCCGAGTTGAGCATTGGCGAGGAGATGTGACACTTGCACCCTTTTTTGGCATTTCTTTGACCCGTCCTCTCCCACCACCACCTATTATGGTTGTTTAGCGCACTCCACCAGTTGGATCCTGCAAGATCAACACTGATGGATGCATCAAAGATGGATTTGCAAGTGGTGGAGGCATCATTAGGGACCACGCAGGATACTATATCAGGGCATTCTCAGCATCGTATGGCCCATGTTTCATTTTGGAGGCTGAACTCAGAGCCATACTAGATGGGCTTCTATTGGCCAGAGGACTTAGGATTTCAGCTATCTGGCTCGAGGTAGATTCAACATTGGCTATTCATTGCATTACCAAAGGTGGAGGACCATGGTCGATTCAGGGCATTCTTAGACAGATCAGAGACCTCATCTACTTTGATAGAGACACGGTTTCACACATCTACAGAGAAGGCAACCAGGTTGCTGATTCTCTTGCTACAGAAGGCTGGAATCATCGATGCTATCTAGAGTATGGCCCACTAGAACTGCCTCGACATATTAGGGCGATAGTGCGGATCGACAGACATGGATTGCCCAGTTTTAGAGGTTCGTAATTTAGGCTATTCTTTATTGTATAGAGAAGTAGTACTTCCTCATTTATTGCTTTCATTTATTACATTCATTTGTTGCATCACTGCTTTTTGGAGGTCAGGTTCATGCCTCCCTCCTTCCGTGTATTCTTGATTTTTATGAAATAAATATGGTTGGGGAACCCTTAACCCCCATCGACCTTCCTTGGTGGACCCTAAAAAGTCACTAAGGATGTGTAGATGTCTTTACCAAAAAAAAAAAAAAAAAAAAAAAAAAAAAAAAAAAAAAAAAAAAATACCAAAAAAAAAAAAAAAAAAAAAAAAAAAAAAAAAAAAAAAAACCCGTCTTGAACGAAAGTAACTTAAACAATAATAAGCTGGCTCATTGAAACCCGAGCATAACTTCAGGGATAACGAAGTAATCCTTTTGTGCGGTGGATGGCTCATCCATGCAAAGGCTTCTCACTTGGCATTCAACTTTGTCAAGTAAGGCATGTGATATATGCCTCGAAGTTTAAATAAGGTGACCATCTTTTAAGGGCAGATCTTCTCCTCCGAGATGCCCACACTTCTTCACATGGTGGATAGCTCATCTATACAATGGCTTTTCATTTGGCATTTAGCTTCGTTAAGTGAGGCATGTGATGTACACCTCGGAGTTCGAACGAAGTGACCCTCGTTTGAGGGTAGATGCTCTCTTCCAATGCTTCCATGCTTCTTCACATGGTAGATGGTTCATCCATGCAAATGCTTATCACCTGACGATTAGCTTCGTCAAGTGAGGCATGTGATGTACGCCTCGGAGTTCGAACGAGGAGACCCTCTTTTAAGAGCAGATCCTCTCCTTTGAAGCACCCACGCTTCTTCGCATGGTTATTGGCTCATCTACGTAAAGGCTTTTCACCTGGCATTCAACTTTGTCAAGTGAGGCCTGATGTACACCTCAGAGTTCGAACAAGGTGACCCATTTTTAAGGGCAAATCCTCTCCTCCAAGGCACACATCCTTATTCAC